CTGAGACAGGAGGCCCAGGTTCCACTTTCTCCAGAGGTGTGCAATATCTCCAAATAGGTTAAATAGAAAATATTCAAAATTACATGGTATAGCAAGAAGCGTGGAAATATTAACCTGGAAGTTCTAGATCAATTAAGTGGATAGGACAAGTTGCCTCGGATTCAAGCAAGATGGTAAATTTAGGACTGGTAACAAGAAGCTGCTTTTCCCACAGAATAACTAACACTTGAAATGGATACCTGCACAGATTGAGAAGGAGGTACAAACTCGAGAATCGTTTTTAAGACTGTACGGGAAGCTGCATTGGACAGACTTTGTGGCCATGGCTAGTAGAAGTGAGATGAGCTAAATGGCTTCCATTTATCCTGAATTATCCTGTTACCTGGAGCCAGTGAATAAAGTTATTAGAAAGTCAATCAAAAAGTTTTGAAATTAAACTGAGGGCTGATATTTCATGACTATATGTAATGGTAAATGGTGTAGAAACTGCAAATCCAGGATATCTACAATCTAAACTATTTCATTAATCTAAGAGTCAACGAACTGGCTAAAGACAAATCAGGCAGTTCTCCTCATGAAGCAAGTGATGATGACATTCAAGTAGGATACTGTGGGCTGCAGTCTTAAATCTTCTGTGGAGGAGTTGGAAACTTTAGGGCATGGAAGTCTTTGGGAATGGATGACCCTTCCTCATGTGCATCTACTTTCGGAAGTGTAGAGGCCTGTTAGAGACAGGCAGTAAATGATGGTCTAGCAAACAATGCCCTAGAACATAGGACAGTACAGGCTCTTCAACCCACGATGTTGTGCTGACCTATTATCCTACTAAGAACAATCTACCCTGCATACCTTACATTTAACTATCCTCCCTGTGTCTATCCAAGAGTTGCTTAAAAGTCTCTTAAAGTATCTGACTCATCGAATAAACAAATAAATAGAAAAAGTGTGCTCGATGGACATAGTTCAAATATTCAGCCATGATTTTCCTCTCTCAATTCTTGCCTTTATATTCACAGGACACCACTTGGACCATCCAGAAAACTAAATGCAAGCTTTAAATCACCAGTAAGTCATTTAAACTTGCCCTCTGTAGGATCTGCAGAGACTTTGTAAGGGATGGAGGTGTGCCAATGATTGCCAGCATGCAGGGCTGGCCTTATGGGTGACAGTGGATGGACTTGGTGCAGATTGGGCACAGCAGAGAATGGGCTGTCTTGCCTGGGAAGGAAGAGTGCAGTGAGGAAAAGTATAAAGATTGCTATATCTGTAATCTGTAAGTCAATACCTGTATCTTTTTCGAAAGCATTGCTAAAATCCTGTTAACATGTAGTGATTTCATATTATGGCTGTTAATTAGTATTATAAATTAAATGGGAAAGTTATTAATAATCTGTTTGAAAAGGGATCTTTTAACCAAGTCAGCATCTGCCTAATTTCTGTCTACCATCTATAAAGTAGGAGTCAGCAATGTGATGGCATATTCCCTGACTGCCTGAATGGGTGCAGCTCCAATGATACCCATTGCCTCGACAGGATGTCGGACAAAGCAGCCCGCTTCATAGAATCACTGTATTGTAGATAAGATGCCATTCAGCCCATTGAGTCTGCACCGACCCTCTGGAGAACATCCCACTCAGGCGCAGGGAGAACATGCAAACTCCTCACAGACAGTCGCCCGAGGCCGCAATCGAACCCGGGTCCCTGGCACAGTGAGGCAGCAGCGATCGCCACTGAGCCACCCATTTGATTGGCATGCCAATCCAACACCTTCAACATTTCACTCTCTTCGCAACCAACGCACAGATTGTGCTATCTGCAAGAGGCAGTGCATTAACTCCCCAAATATCATTTGACAGCAACCACGATTTCAGACCTGCCACCTAGATTGGCATGGGCAGTATGGAACCACCACCACCTGCAAGTGCCCCTCCAAACTACTCCCCATTCTGAACTGAAACACATCACTGTTCCTTCGCTGTCACTGCGTCAAAAGCCTGTAAACCTCTTTCTGACAGCAATGTGTGAGTGCCCACACCCAAAGCTGCAGCATTTTAAGAAGGCAGCTCACTAATCGCACCTTGTGGGCATTTAGGGACGAGCAATAATTTCTGGCCTAACCAGAATAATTTTTTTTTAAAAAGAGCGAACAGTTTCAGGAAGCACAGCTCTCGAAGTTGTTCAGAAATATGTCAGACCAAACCAAGTCCTTGAACTTTTGCAGTGTTGTTATTTGTAATAAAATTATAGGTTTACCTTAAATAACTTTTACTGTACAGTGTGTCAGGTGCCTCACAATGAATGGTATTTATTTTTCATACAAACATACAAGTCAGGAACATGAGTTGGCCATTCAGCCCCTCGAGCCTGCTCTGCCATTCAATAAGATCATGGTGATTTGTAATCTCAAACTCACATTCCTGCTAATGCATGATAACCTTTCATCCCCTGTTGCTTAACAGGAAAATATCCGTTTCTGGCTTTAAAAATATTTAAAGACTGTGCTTCCACCACCGTTTCAGGGAGAGAGTTCCAAAGGCTCACCACTTTGAAAGTAAACAATGCTGCCTAATCTCTGTTTTAAATGGACAACTCCTTATTTTTAAACAGTTGCCCCAAAGGGAGAAAACATTGTCTCCACATCAGCCCTGTCAAGACCCTGTTTCAATCAAGACCTCCCTTACCCGTGAGCTCCAGGAGATACAAACTGACCCTGTCCAACCTTTACTTGTAAAACAGCCTGTACCTTCCAGGTTTCTCTGAACTGCCTGCAACACACTTCGCATCCTTCCTTAAATAAGGTAACCAATACTGTGCACAGTTCTCCAGATGTCATCTCACTTTGTATCACTGAGGCATAATCTCTCTATTTATATTCAGTTCCCCGTCTTGATAATCAGTAATATTCTATGAGCTTTCTTAACTGTACCTACGTACTTAACTTTTGCGATTCATGCACTAGGGCATCCAAATCCCCTTGAATCTGAGCTGTGTAATCTCTCGCCATTGATATAATATGCTTACATACTCAAAACTCTGACTTCTCCTGCAGGTACAGATCTCCCTGGACCATGAGCTTGATTCTGCTGGTCTTCAACTTCATGTTGAGAATCTGAGGAAGAAATGTAACAATCTTGACCGTGAGATTGCAGAGCTGCTCTCGGCGTAAGTGGGTTGTTTGCTTATGTCGCAAATTAAATCCGCAATAAATTCACAGTCTGCCTGCAAATTATGCAAAGGATTGCTAGTAATAATCATACTTACACTTATTTTATTACCATATATTGAAGCATTTTACATCACTGACATATCCCTTTTAAAGTGGAATTTCAATCTTGGGATCAGGACAGTGAATCCTACCTGCTTGGACTGAGACGCAATGTGTGAAAGGTTTTGGAGACAATAAGGACTGCAGATGCTGGAAGCCACAGTCTATAGGTGTGAGGCTGGAAAAGCACAGGTCAGACAGCATCGGAGGAGCAAGTAAGTCAACATTTCGGACCGAAACCCTTCGTCCTGACGCCGAGCCTCACACCTATAGATTCTGTGAAAAGTTTTATTTGTTTTCCTTCAGGGTGTGATCCTTGCAGGCCAGAACATTTTCAGTTTGGACCGAGAGGCGGTAGGCAGCTCTACTTTAGACCTTAACACTACCAGTCCTGTGGGAATGGATGAATCAGCAAGTGTTCTGCTTCTGAATAAACCTTTGCCAGTTTATAGATATTGGATGCGGGCAGGTTCAGGTGGGAATCAAATACCCTTTATAGTCATACTGTCTGACATTGAAGACTTTGGCTCCCATGCCATCGAATAGACATTTGGGCAAAGTAGCTCGAGGTCAAGAAATGAATGTGGAATTTTACTTAGATGTGAGTTAGCATGAGGGATATTTTGAGGATCAGTTTCAAATTGCCGTTTTGCCTCGTTCACTCACTCAGTGGTCTCTGAGTCAGAAATTCAACCCTGCTTCAAGATTTGAGCTTGTAGTCTAGGCTAAGAAAGTTAGAAATATGAGGCAGGTGTCCCAAATCTAAGTCTCATCCTGAATATATTTGGTGTGGTGTTGATTATCGCATATCACAGAGATCAGCAGTTGATTTGTTTGGGGTGTAATGTGATTATAATGTCGCAATATGTTCCGCTAGTGTTCTGAGCAAAATTTCTTCCACAAAGCTCGATGAGGACAGAGCAATAGATGTTGTTTACATGGACTTTAGTAAAGCTTTTGACAAGGTTCCACATGGTAGCCTAATTAGTAAAGTTAGATCACATGGGATTCGGGGTAAGCTTGCCAATTGGATATAAAATTGGCTCGATAGGAGACAGAGAATTATGGTGGCGGGTTGCTTTTCGGACTGGAGGCCTGTGACCAGCAGTGTTCAACAGGGATTGGTACTGGGTCCACTTTTGTCATTTATATAAACGATTTGGATGCAAATATAGGAAGCCTCGTTAGTAATTTTACAGATGACACCAAAATTGTTTGTGTAGTGGACAGTGAAGAAGGTTATCTAAGATATTAATTGGGTCAATGGGCTGAAAATGGCAGATGGAGTTTAATTTGGATGAATGTGAGGTATTGCATTTTGGTAAAACAACCAAGGGCAGGACTTATACAATTAATGGTAGGGTCCTGGCTAGTGTTGAAGAACAGAGAAACCTAGGGATTCAGGTATATAATTCTTTGAAATTTGCATCACAGGTATACAGGGTGGTTAAGAATGCGTTTAGCACGCTTGTCTTCATTGCTCAGACCTTTGAGTATAGGAGTTAGGACGTCATGCTGAGGTTGTACAGGATGTTGGTGAGGCCCCTTCTGAAGTATAGTGTACGGTTCTGGTTGCCCTGCTATGGGAAGGATATTATTAAACTGGAGAGGATTCAGAAAAGATTTACTAGAATGTTGCCGGGATTGGAGGGTTTGTGTTATAAAAATAGGCTGGATAGACTGGGGCTTTTTTAACTGGAGTGTAGGAGATTGAAGTTTGACGTTACAGTGGTTTATAAAATCATGAGGGCATAGATAAGGTGAATAGCAAGGAACTTTAGTTCCCTAGGGTGGAGGAGTTCAAAATTAGGGGGTTTATTTTGAAGGTGAGAGGAGAAATATTCAAAAGGGACATGAGGGACAGCTTTTTTTTTAAACACAGTGGTTCATGTGTGGAATGAACTGCCAGAGAAAGTGGCGGATGCAGGTACAGTTTAAAAGACATTTGGAACGGTACATGAATAGGAAAGGTTTGGAAGGAAAGGGACCAAATGCAGGTGAATGGGACTAGTTTATTTTGGGAACATGGTTAGCTGGACTAGTTGGACAAAGGTCTGTTTCCGTGCTGTATGACTCAATGACGCAAGAAACACCACCTCGAACAGATTGGAAACTTATTCATCCCAATCTCTCTGCGGCTACATTGGCAAAGTAATTCCTTTTAAGTGTCATGTTTTATGATGTTTTAAGATTGTTTAAAATGTGCTTTTCCATTGTGTGAGTTTTATGGAAATCTGTGATTTACTAACCCATTCTAAAAAGGGTCCAAACAAGTTTGCAAGCCATTGCTGTAGAAGTTGCACAGTTAAATTCATGACCACAAGAATATCAGACAAGCCAAGTCCTTATGTCATCCTTTGCAGTGTATTTATTTGTATTTAATATTTACAGTTACTATTTGTCATAGAACCTTTCTTTGCTGTAAATAACTTTTCCTTTAAGGTACCATTAAAATTACTGTGACCATCATGCTTGAACACAAGTGACTGTATTTTAATAATAATTCATTAGATTAACTTCATAGTCAATGTCGTAAACTCAGCATCCATGTTCTATATTAAATGTGCCCATTGATATCCAACCTAGGCTGGAGACCTGGCTACAGCTAATGAATTGGGTTATGATGGTCTCGAATAAGACATTGCCTAAAAAGACAGTCAGACCAGATTCAGTACTAAATTTCAAAAGCAATTTGGATCTACATTTGCAGGATGATGGGGGTAAAAAAGGGGAGTTGTCAGACTAACTGGTTAGCTCTTTCAAAGAGCTAGCACAGGCAGATGGACTGAATGGCTTCTTTCTGTGCATTTTAGATTCTATGGTTCTGTTCCTCCTGATGCCCCAAGGACAGTCCATTCACCCAGGGAGTTAGAAGGGGCTGCTTGTAAACCTGATTGTGAACTGATCAGTTACAAACTGCTTGGTGTAACAGTGTTTATTAAATATGTCAGCCACTCGAGCATGTGTTCCAGAAGTGATCAGTTCGATATCAGTGCTTGTAAAGGGGTCGGTATGTAGACCGATTTGGCTGTTCTCTTCCTACAGAGGGTACACTCTGGAAGAGTTGGACCAGCACATTGATCAGCTCCATGAGTACAATGATATCAAGGATGTGGGCCAGTTACTGTTGGGAAAACTGGGTAAGAACACTTTAAATACTGCTAACAGAAAAGGAAATGACTTACATTTTAATAGCACTTCTCATATCCTTGGGTCCTTCCAAAGTGGACCAGAGCCAAATTAATATTGTTATTCAAGGTCTCTTTGAATTATTTTCAAGAACTACTTACTCATTTTCAGGAGTTTGTTTTTCACTCTCTCAAATTCATTTACTGGCTGATGTAGTCACAGTGACAATTACTTTCGATATTTGTGTTGAATGTTTTCTTCTTTAGACAGATAAGATTGCAAATAAACGCTAAGATTGCAAATAAACGCAAAGATTGCACATATATGTATTATGAATTCTGTTAACCTCGAACCTATAAGTAAGATGTTCCAATATAATAAAACAAAAAACTGTGGATGCTGGAGATTTGAAACAAAAACAACTTACTGGAGAAACTCAGCCGGTCTGGCAACATCTGTGGAGAAGAAGTAGAGTTATTGTTTGGAGTCCAGTGACTTTTCTTCATTCTGAAGAAAGGTTACTGGACTCAACCTTAACTCTGTTTACTCTTCGCAAGATATTCCAGTTAGTTTATGATTAATTTTCCATACACTTTTTCCAAATGGGGATCATGCGTAAAGTGAGTAAATTTTCCTTTCCACAGTGACTTGGAGGTGTCACGTGAATTCCTTCACTGTCCGTGTGTATCTCGTGTCCTGGTCTCGTCCATCTGAGTGGGCAAAACCGAATCACAGTCTGAGCATCGACACTCCTGCTGCTGCAGCTCCTCCTGAATGGGGGTGCACTGGGAATGGCAGCCCAGATTTTGAGCTCCATGCAATTTGCTAAGTTTAAGAAACCATTGAGCTGGATGATCCAATTCTAATGGGACTCCTGCACAAAATGACTGCAAATTTGACAGAGAATCTCACTTGAAAAGGCCTGATGTGGGAAAGTTGAAGAATGTGATATCACTGCAAATGGGAATTACATTGCTTTGTTGAGAATTATGAGAAAGAGTTATGCTCCTAATCTAATCATGATTCCGTCAATAAACTTCATTCCATTGTCCCCAACTCTAACCTTCTCCCTGGGCACTCCCTGAGACTGGATTAGACTGTTTGCAACCTTGGCATCAGAACTGACCCTTTGGATGAGTTTTCAACAATGGATCTACTCTATTGCCAAGGTTACCCCTTCTAGCTCCATAACATTGGAGTTGCTAGCATTAATTCATCTGATGCTGAATCCTTAATTTGTGACTTTGCTGCCTCTAGACCTGATTATTCCAATGTAGTTCCATTCTCCCCGCCTCCACAAGCTTAAATTCATCCTGAGCTCTGCTGCCGAAATCCTAACTTGTGCCAAGACCCATTCCTCCATCATTCCCTTTTCTCGCTGACCCTCATTATAAAATTCTGTGTTTACAAATCCTGCGTATTTACCCCCTCCTTACCTCTATAACCTCATAGGGCAGCACGGTGGTCTCAGTGGTTAGACCTGCCGCCTCAGCGCCAGGGACACTGGTTCAATTCCACCTTCAGGTGACTGTCTGTGCGGAGTTGCACATTCTCCCCATGTCTGCGTGGGTTTCCTCCAGGTGCCCTGGTTTCCTCTGTTTCCATAGTCCAAAGATGTGCAGGTTAGGATGGATCGGCCATGGAAAATGCAGGGTTACAGGAATAGGGTAGGGGTTTGATCTGGGATACTCTTCAGAGGGTCAGTGTGGATTCAATGGGCCGAATGGCCTGCTTCCCTTCTACAGGGATTCTATGATTCGATAACGTCTTTAGCCTGATAACCCTCCAAGAGCTGATTTCCAGTGCAAATGCCAGTTTTAATTGCTTCACTATTTGTGGCTGTGCCTCAACCTCTGTTCCTTTACCTGTCTCATCCCCTTTAAGATACGGTGTAAAACCTACTCATTATTTGTTTAGGTGGTCCAACATCAAACATTTTTGATAATGCTGGGATATTCTATTAAGTTGAAGGTTCTATATAATTGTAGGATTATGTACTTGAACCAGGATTTTATAAACTTTGTAATAAGAATTGGTTTGACTTCCATCGTAAGAACGTACAAGGAGAACATCGAAAGAAAAGTGGCATGTGC